TTTTTTTTTTTTACCAAGGAATCAATGTTAAAAATGTTCATCAACAGAATAAAGAAACTTGTTAAGGTATATAACCACCTAAAGGAGATTAAATAGTGCGTAATTTAAGATTTTGGGTGAACTGTCTCTTTTAAACGTTTTCACAAAAACAACAAGAACAATAGATAAAATATAATAATAAAACATGAGAAATAAAAGGGTGAGTAAATAACACAACTGCGTTTTCTGGGAGAACTACTTCTGCAATAGTTATTGTATTTCGCCTACTAATAGGATGGGAAATATTGCGTTTAGAAGGTTGCGTTTGGGCAGGAGCCATATTTTAGCTCAAATATCCGAAATATTCCCTGTTCCTGATATGACTTAAAAAGTATCCAACCTGATCTCACGAGGAAACGTAACTATTTGTGTACTTTATGCATTCGTCAGGAAAGTGGTTAATTTGTATGTTTCTTTACGGTAAAAACATACAAGTTTAAAAAAAAAGTGTGCCCCAAAAGCCACACCCCTAACCCCACCCCCACTTGCTAACGAGAAAATCGCACTTAAATTCGTACAAATGTTTAAACATATGATTTTTTTTAAAAACGTGTGGCTAATTAGAAAATTGTACTAAAATTTAACAATTAAATACAAATTAGCAACTAAATGAAAAAGTTACGAATTTCCGTGAGATAGCGTTGACGTATCAGCTCCTCCTCTTCGTGTAGTGTATTAGTCCATAAGTGTTTTCGTTTTCAGAAGGGCTTTACTGTGTGCATTTATTGTTAATGTATTCGTCATTCTGTGACGGGCTCGTTTTATAGCTCCCGCGTTCGGGACGGCCAACGAAAATCTGAATGTCTCGCTGTACGCCAGCCACTGCACAGTTTCGCAGCGCGTCAGAAATACAATGGCGGTATTAGTGCCAAAATTTGTCAACGTGTGCGAAATAGCACACACAAATATATATTAATAAATAAATAAATATATATAAATATATAGATACATACAAGAGCATCATGTCCGTATGAAGCCTTTGTAATATTTTGGTTTAACTTACCAGTCCTTGTTACGACAGGACTAATTATGTTTCATAATATGTTGAAATTTAAAATTTGTGTAGTTTTTTTTTGTTGTTGGTGTTGCTTTTCTAATGGTTTACTATGAGATATATCAGTTTTTAGAGTAGAAGGACAGTGTGTCGTCTAGTTTTATTGCGCTTATCTGCTAACAGCTCACAGTATACCCTGTTGTACATGCTCATCGACTTCATATTTTCGTTAATTATAATATATCAAAGTATCTTAGTTTGCGACAAATAATGTAAATGACCAAAAAAAATCGAATTATTGTGTAATTAGGAAACCTGCTAGTATTAAAACAGACCGAAAAGTGAAGGCTAATTAATGAATTAATTAAATTTGCAAAAGAATGGAGAAATGCAGCCGCTGAATGTGTGTTGTTGCCGTCAGAATTCATCTAGAGGTGTGTGTTTGTCCAGTAGTGTCATCATTTGTGCTGTGCTGAATGGTTGAGGAGTGTGAGTTGTTAGCAGGTAAGGAGAAAAACATGCTAATGAGCGACTCTGCTGGGTTTTACTTTAAGGAATCTGTATGTCCGATTATTTAAGCAAAAAATGTGTGTGCAGTTGAGTGTGTGGAGTTCTGCTGTTGGCCTTACTGTCCATCTCCTGTATTTATTTTGTTGTTTTTGTCACCTTTTTTCAAGTTTTACTCTGTAAAAATGTTTTGCAGTAAATATTGAACCGTTTTATAAGCAGATGTATGGGTTCTTTTCTTTTCTTTTTGAGAGAGAGAGAGAGAGCGAGAGAGCTGCAGTGGCGGGACTCTAAAGATCTCACCAATAAATCAAATCAACAATGAGTGTTCAGAGTGACTTGGCCTGATTTCAACTATAAAAACAAGAAAGTCACACGTCTGCTTCTTTATTTACACTAACAGCATTTGTAGTCCTGAAAATACTTTGTAAAACTGGTTGGAAAGTGCAGGTTTATAAACCCAACACCGCCACGTCTCCATTACAATGTGCAAGATATTTCTGTGACAACATAGACGTTGTTATTGTGTGAGTGAAAAACGTTTGATTTGGTAATCTATCATTTAATTCTAGCCAATGGCAGTCGCTTTCTCATGTCTCTGGGTGAAATATGCTTAGCCACACCCCTTAAACCATTAGTTGCTGCAAGCTACTAGCAGCTGCCTAGCAACCACTCAAAAAACCTTAGCATCCGCCTATCAACATCTTAACCATCTTTAATATTCTAGCATCACCTCAACAACCGCCTAACAACACCATAGCAACTACCTAGCAATGCCTTAGCAACCGCCTAGAACACCTAGCAATGCTTTAGTAACCAACACCTTAGCAACCGCCTAGCAATGCCTTAGCAACCACTCAGAACATTTGAGCAACGCTTTAGTAACCAACACCTTAGCAACCGCCTAGCAATGCCTTAGCAACCACTTAGAACACTCTAGCAATGCCTTAGCAACCAATCAGAACACTCTAGCAATGCCTTAGCCACTGCCTAGTAACCACTTACAAAACCCTAGCAACTCCCTAGCAACCGCTTAGAAATCACTCAGAACACACTAGCAACATCTTAGCAACCACTTAAAACACCCTAGCAACATTTAAAAACCACTCAACTACCTAACAAATGCCTAGCAACCACTCAGAACACCTTAGCAGCTTCCTAGCAACCACCCAGAACACCCTAGCCACTGCCTAGCAACGCCTTAGCAAACACATTAGAACACCCTAGCAACCACTCAGAACACTATCAATGTCTTAGCAAACCAACTAGCAGTCACTTAGAACTCCCTAGCAACCCCTTAGCAAACACATAGAACACCCTAGCAACACCTTAGCGACCACTCAGAACACCCTGGCAACCTATTAGCAACACCTTAGCAACTGCCTAGCATCCACTCAAATCACTATAGCAATGCTCTAGCAACTGCCTAGTAGTCACTCAGAACACCCTTGCAACATCTTAGCAACCACTCAGAACACCCTGGCAACCTATTAGCAACACCTTAGCAACTGCCTAGCATCCACTCAAATCACTATAGCAATGCTCTAGCAACTGCCTAGTAGTCACTCAGAACACCCTTGCAACATCTTAGCAACCACTCAGAACACCCTGGCAACCTATTAGCAACACCTTAGCAACTGCCTAGCATCCACTCAAATCACTATAGCAATGCTCTAGCAACTGCCTAGTAGTCACTCAGAACACCCTTGCAACATCTTAGCAACCACACCTTAGCAACCGCCTATAAACCACTTAGAACACCCTAACAAACACCTAGGAACTGCCTAGAAACCACTCAGAACACCCAAACAAACGCCTAGCAACACCTTAGCAACCACCAAGAACACCATAGCAACTGCTTAGCAACCATTCAGAACAACTTAGCAACCACATAGCAACACCTTAGCAACCAGCTAGAAAACCATAGCAATGCCTTAACAACCATTCCGAACACCCTAGCAACTGCAAAGCAACACCTTAGCAACTGCCTAGCATCCACTCAAAACACCCAAGGAAAGCCCTAGCAACTGCCTAGTAGACACTCAGGACACCCTAGCAACATCTTAGCAATCACTCAAAACACCCTAGCAACCGCCTAGAAACCACTCAGAACACCCTAACAAATGCCTAGCAACACCTCAGCAACCACTCAGAACACACCACCCTAGCAACACCTTAGCAACCACCTAGAACACCATAGCAATGCCTTAGCAATCACCTACCAACTGCCTCAGAACACCTCAGCAACCATCTAGCAACGCCTTAGCAACCACTCCAAACAATCTCGCAATGCCTTAGCAACCGGCTTGTAGTTACCCAGAACACTCTCAAAACCCATTAGCAACAACCTAGAACACCATAGCAATGCCTTAGCAACCCCTCAGAACACCCTTGCAACTGCCTAGCAACATCTTAGCAACCCCCTAGCAAGAAACATGCAAGCAGCTGATTCAAACTTCTCAAAAATTATTTAAATTATTCAAACTTAAAAAAGATAAAGCCCCGCCTCCTACTCCATATTCTGTTTCAGTTTAAAGCGTCATCGAACTGAAATAAAAGTCTGCAGCAACTTTTAGTTCACAAAGAGTTTAAAGTGTACGTATTAGTGTCTTAACAACTATGTTGTTTAAAATATATATATATATATATTTCTAAGAGTGTAAAAAGGTGTATGAGTGATCAGATTTGCGTGAGGGACTCATGGGAAGTGTAGTCCAGGATGAGTGCGCTGATGGCGCCCTCTTGTGGACAGTGGAGGACCTTTAAGACAGCCTTCATCAGCTGGAGCACTTAAAAATCTATTAAGATAATATTTGTTTTGGTAATTATGCATTATATGTATGTATACCCTATAATTAAAAACAAATGTATATTATTTATATGTATTTAATCATCTCAGACTGGTTTCTTGAACATGACAATGAGTTCACTGCACTCAAATGGCCTCCACAGTCACCAGAGCTCAATCCAATAGAGCAGCTTGAATAATACTTGGTATAATTACTGATTTATAAGAATGTAAGGGTTGGGGAGGGGCTAGACATTTATAAAATACAATATAGTGTGTAATTTAGTAAATAATATAAATAATACTCGGTAAATTTACAGTTTTTACATTGTTTTACTGTGATGGTTGGGTCTGGGGTTGTGGTCGTGTAGTTAGACAATATATAATTAAACGAGTAATTTTAATAAATAGGCAGACTAATACTCGGTATAATACTGTTTTACATTACGGGGTAGGGTTAATAAAATACTATTTTAGTTTGTAATTTAACAAATTATATGAATAATATTGGGTATAAGTGCTGTTTTTACATTACCGTGAGGGTTTGGGATGTGGGTAGATGTTATTAATATACGCTGCTGCTGTATCCCTTCTAGCAACAACCGATCAACGGTTTTAGGGGAAGGGCGGGAACGTGCGTCAGACGTCACAGACGCGCTGTCGCCGTCGCGTCGCAGTGTTATGACGCGTTCAGAGCTCGCCATCAGAAAGTTGCAGCACATTGCTAAAGGCAGACACACACGCGCGCGAGTGACAGCAGCGGCTCTGCGCGTTCGGTTCCGGCGCTCGCGACGCGCCCGTGACGGCCGGTAGAGCTACAGCCGGTGTTTACCCGCGACCGGGAGAGTGTGTATGTGAGTGTGTGTGTTCGCTGAAGGTGAGCCTCTAACACACACTTCACCACACAACACTGTAAACACTACACACATGCTGGGGGACTGTGTGTGTGTGTTTGTGTCACCCAGGCTGGCTGTGTGTGTGTTCTATATACTATCAAACGCACACACATAGTACACAACGCTGTTTAAATGTGTGTGACGTGATTGTGTGTTTTGTTTAGCGCTGTGTGTGTGTGTCTGTGTGTCTATGATTCTCTCTCTATCTCTATGTGTGTGTTTGTGTGTCTCTTTCTGTGTGTATGTGGTTATAAACACACACATATTATAAAACGCCCGCAGCTGCTTGAATGTGTGTGAAGTGATTGTGTGTTTTATTTATTGGTGTGTTTGTGTCTGTCTGTTTCAATAATTCAGTTCAATAGTTGCGTTATTGGCGTGGCAAATGTTATAAATGTTTTGCCAAAGCGTTTTTGATGTTTACTTGTATAATAAACATATTATTACATAATAAAAACACAGTAAACAGTGTTAATAGTAGTATTAGCAAACATTAAAGTAATAAAAATAAAAGCAATGAAAGAAAATAATAATAAATCAGAATAACTGTACATTCAACAATCAATATTTAAGAATAATTTGAATAAATGAGCAGTTCCAGCATTATGGATGTGACATTTGCAGTAAACACTCAAAACATAAATTCACATAGAAAGTAAATGTTAACATTATATTGAAATGTTTGTTAATATTTTACAGAACAACTGACCACAGAGGTAAAGGACCAGAAAAATACCAATCTGTAAACATGTTTTGTACTTAAATGAGGAAAATGAACATGTGTTATGGATGAGACAAAAAATGTCTGCGAGATTACAGTATACAACATACTTTGTCGAAATTCTGTGAATTAAGCTGCACAACCCAAAAGAAACATTGCTTATCAAAAAGATATAAGTTTTCTTTATAAATCAAAAATGATTGGTTTTATTTCATTTAATATTTTCACATTTATGAGGAAAAAGTGTCGTCATGGATGTGACAGATGTGAAATTCCCACTGATGTGACTTTGGTAAATCAAATATAATAGTTTGAAAACATTGACAGATGCATTTTTGAGTATTTCTAAAGTACTGTAAAATACTTCATAACACAAAAAACGTAGAAATAGGTTCTGTATTTTGGTAAAGAGCTGTGTTGTGTGTGTGCTGTGTGTGTGTGTATCTATGTATATATATA